GAGCGCATTCTGTGAGGGCACGATGCATGAACTGAAAAATTGGATGGCATACCCCTGCGCGTTTTTTCGAAAACGGGGCTAGACGGGGCTATCGCGTCCACAGCCCCGTCATAGCCCCGTGGGCATAGCCCCTTCTGGCCCCTTCTGGCCCCGGGTGCTTGACGGGGCCGGACGGGGCTAGTGGTATGGGGTATGGGTTCAGTTCAGTTCAGTTTATTGAGGGAAATAGGCGTAAGCCTTTGAGTACCCTATTTGCAACGTAAAAAATGTGTGGTGTACAGATAGATGTTCTGGGCTGAAATAGTTCGAACACGCCCATAATGGTGGGACAAAATGAGAACGAGTTACCGGGGGTGAGCTCGACTTCTCATCGCTCTTGTTCATTTCGGAACATAAATTTGTCCAGATTCTTCTTAAAAATTTGTATAGATGGTGACATCACAACATCTGCGGGAAGCTCATTCCATGATTTGACCACCCGAACCGCGAAGGAGAACTTCCGCACATCCAGCCGTGCCTGCTGAGTGCGCAGTTTTAACGGGTGACCTCGGAGGTTGGTCGTGGTAGCAAATTCAAAAAAGTCTTCGAAGGCCAGACTGCAATCCAACCCCTTTACAATGCGGAAGGCTTGCAAGAGATCTCCGCGAAGTTGCCTGTAACTCAAAGGAAAGAGGTTCAGATTTACTAGGCGGGTTGCATAAGGAAAGGAGCATTGACCCCTAACCATCTTCGTGGCTCTCCTCTGGACTCTTTCGAGGCAGTTTTGATCCAAAACAGCCCACGGCCTCCAAGCTTGTATGCCGTACTCTAAATGCCGCCGGACGAATGTTCCGAATGTCTTAGAGAAAGCTTCTTCGTCAAAGTCCATAAACGCACGCTTGATGGCGTACAGTACGGACATTGCGGTTTTTGCCACCCTCGAACAGTGGGCGGATGGTTTTAGGGAACTCGTCGTCAGCACACCAAGGTCCCTTTAGGCTTCGACCTCTTGTAGGGCTGCACCGCCCAGAAAGTAGTTTCTTGTGCTGGCGGATCTGGCTGTGTTGCCTAGGGGAAGTATGCTACATTTGGCAACGTTGAACCGCAGGAGCCAACGGTTTGACCACTCCTCCAACCGATTCAGGTTCATCTGCAGTCTGTCTTCATCGGCAGGACCCCGAATTACACTCCATATCTTCATGTCATCCACAAACATTGCAACTTCACAGTCTAAATCTCTTGCGGCATCGGCCACGTAGATAAGGAACAAAATGGGTCCCAGAACTGAACGCTGGGGGACACCACTATCGACCATAGCCGGATCTGATTTTCCCCGACCGACGCACACAACCTGGTGTCGACCCACAAGGAAGTTTTCGATCCATTTAAGGAAGTTGCCACCGATCCCTATTTTTTTCAGCTTATGTAAGAGTCTTTGGTGTGGCACAGTGTCGAAAGCCTTCTGGAAGTCGATGAAGGCTATGTGGACCGCGTGCCTGTCGTCGAGAGCTCGGGTCCACCTCTGGAGAGATTGCAGCAGGTTTGTCGTGCAGGATCTTCCTGCTCGGAACCCATGTTGGCATTTCGATAGCAGGCCGTGAACTTCCAGGAATTGCATCAGTTCACTCTTTATGATCCTTTCCATAACTTTGCAGAGAATGCATGTCAAGCTTATGGGCCGGTAATTTGTCGTCGCTGCCCTGTTACCTCCTTTGTGTAGCGGAGTAATATGCGCCAGCTTCCAATAGACAGGAAGTGTTCCAGTGTCAAATGACGTTTGAAAGAGCATCGACAAAGGCACAGAGAGCTCACTGGCAAGTTCCTTGAGAAGCTTGGATGGAATCTCGTCTGGTCCTGGCGACTTCGATTCGTTCAATGCCTCTAATTCTCTTCGGACAATGCCTTCTGAGAAGAGTATATCACTGACGCTTGGAGTCGGCAGTTCTTCTGTGGAGGGAGGAAGGAACCTTGCCTCGTTTGTGTAGACTGATTGGAAAAACCGTGAAAAATACGCAGCTTTATCCCTACTATCAGCGATCTCATCGCCATCAGTAGTCTTTATCAAAGGGATTGATACCTGTTCCTTGTAGTTCGTCGGAGGTAGCTGTAGAGCAATTTTGGGTTCTGCGTTGCTTTTTGTAGCAAGTTCTTCTCGAATTCCCGCCGCGTCTGCATTATCAGCTTCCTCAGTTTGTTCCTCTGTGTCTTGTAGGTGTTGAAGCATTCAGCTTGCCTAGTGACGCAGTATTTTCTCCACAATTTGTGCTTCCTGTTGATTTCTTTCTTAAGGTTGCTATTTAGCCACCCAGGGCGTTTGTTCAGTCTTACACTAGTCAGTGGGCAGTGGTTGTTGATGAGCTGCAGAAGGACATTCTTGAACAGCTCCCAGTCATCGTCGGTACTTCCCGTAAACAATGAGCCCCAGTAAAGACCGGATAAGTCTGCCCTCATCTGATTGAAGTCGCCCCGCCAAACATTACGCCTTTTGTGGTCTGGAGTATGTGAAATGGAGAATAACGAATAATCCCACATAAGCACTACGTGGTCACTTCGGCCAAGGGGCGGCATGGAGACGATCTCGTCTATGCTGTCTGGTGTTTTCGTAAAGACCAGATACAGGCAGTTTGCCCTTTGTCCTTCACGTGTTCTCGTTGGGAACATTACATGTTGTGTGAGGCACGCATTTAATGTTTTGCTCAACAGGCGGTAATAGAATGCCGATTTTGGACCTGACGCTTGGAGGGTATTCCAGTTTGTTCCTGGTGCGTTGAAGTCGCCCATGATCATGATGTTAGGTCGACTGGAAAATTTCTCCAACTGCTCCAATAGTTGAGTGTCGGCGATTCGGTCTGTCATAGATGGTCGGTAGACAGTGAGGACATCGAGACACGGGGAACCGGTAGCCTTGATGGTCAACCAGATAGCTTCCGTACTGCACGCAAACTTGGTGGTGTTACCCGACACTTTCAGACCTTCATTTACATACACAACGATACCACCACCCTGACGATGTTCCCTGTCCCTCCGATAAATTTGGTATCCAGGCAAGGCTACTTCGTTATAGCTAATATTCCCAGACAGCCAGGTCTCAGTTACTGCTAAAACATCTGGAGACAGCTCGTCAAGGCAAAGTTTTAGTTCGTCTAGTTTCGATATGAGGCTTTGGGCATTCGTGTACAAGCACCTCAGTTTAGCACCAGCCGAATTTCCCGTTGCATTTGTTACTGCTGTGAGCATTACTCCGTTATCGCGGACGTCGTGTTCTCTAGGCTCTTCCGTTACCTGATTGGTTCCATTTACAAGCCTTGTTTCAGTCAGATCACTGGACGCTACGGGCTCACTTGTGTTGGCGCCTTGATCAGGTGGTTCAACGAAGGTGTCTGTTTTAGCTGAGTAGCTGTCGTCGTTCGTAGTATTACAGGCTGGTTCCACTGAAACGGCATATATTTTCAAACTACCTTCCCCTTGAAGATAGCCAGATTGTGTTCGCCATCCTTCAGTCTTGATGTTAACTCCAAGACAAGTTCCCGGCGTTTCAACCGTTCCGCTGGTGAATAGTCGGGTTGAAAAAAACCTGCTTGTGTGTGTTTCTGAGATCGGTTTTTTTAGAGAGGATAAACTTGATTTGCTCTTTGTTCTCCAGCATAATTTTGAGAGGGCGAGGTGGTTGTGCTACTGTCCTGTCTTCACTCCTTTTTCCTATCCGGAATGCTTTCAGAACCTTTATTTCCATGTCTGCCGGCAGTAAATGATTTAGCAGACCATGAAAAGAAGCAAGGTCCTCTGAGACACGGTCTTCAGGTCTGACTGCATTCGATTCTGACAAACCCTGAATAACCAGACACTGCTGGCGAGCATGGTCCTCCTTACTCTGCCTTTCCGGTGAATGCGCTGCATGTGGGCGAGGACGATTTACGGAGTCATCGCTTGGACGCACACTTTTACTGTCTACCGACTGTCCCGAGCAACCCATCAGGGCTGGCTGGGACTTCAGAATCCTGTCATGGCGTTTCCCTCTCCCCTCTACCCACGGGTTTATGTCTTCGCATTCAGCTACGTGCTCTGTAGTGCGCTCAGGGTGGTTGCCAGAACAAGAGGGCAACAGTAGACTGGATGACCCAGGTATATCGTCTCCAGGCAAAGCAGAAATCCCATCACTTACAGCAAGAGGCTTAGTTGAGATGGCTTCCGCGACATGTAACTTTTTTGCGACATCGCTTAAGACATCGTGCGTGGGAATCGAGTCTCCCTTTTTCGGCGGCTTCATTTTCATTGTCCTGCTGTTACCGGCGTCTGAGGTTTTGGCTGTTGAGTTGCTACTCGTGTTTGAAGATTCCCCCGAGGAGATATTTTTGCGCGTTTTTTGCGTTTTGCTCTTCGTTTTTGGGGTTCTAACACTGGATACGTTCTGGCCGACTACGGTCTGTTTCACGAGCGTCCTTAAATCAGCAAGCTCCTTTTCCAGTTGTTTTACTTTGATTCGAATATCTGCGCACCCACCACAAGGCTCGTCTTCGTACCTCACACTTTTTGCGGTATTTACGCTTTTTGCACGCTTTGCTGGTCGTTGGCTGGAGGCGAAGGTAGAGCGAGCACAGGTTCTGGATACGAAGGACAACTCATCGGACTTATCTTCAAAAGAGGTGCCGTCGCTGGCCGTACTACTACAGTTAGCCTGCTGAGAATCCATAAACTTCGACGTGATATAATAGGTATAATGCCGCTTTCAATGTTATAACGAATACGTCGGCTTATATATGATGAATTAAAGTGAGTATTCAAAACTCAATAAGCGAAAAAATACTTAAAATCCGATAAATTTTGTTGAATTTAATCAGAAGCGACTTAGCCCTTTCCAGATCTCGTGGACTTGAATAACTGCAGACCTTGAAGGATTTTGAGCGATTGGTTTTCTAGGCTGTATATCCGTAAATCGGTTGCGTAGCCCGTTGCGTTGTCAGCTGAACCGTGCTGATAAACAAATTGCACTTAATCCCGGTTTCTGGCGAATTTCGATGCGTGAAAAAATATTCCAAAAATGCACAAAGTAATTCTGTAAGTACGGTTCCAGTATCAATGTCAGAGACTGTAACTGTGGAATGGTAACCAAGTCGAAATTGTCCCAGTTAGAGCGCAGAATAATTCCGTCGTGCTCAGCTGGGCTCAGATATATGTAGAATAGTATAATCTATTGTACGGGGAATTAGATAAGAGAAAATACCGGTAACGTAAAAGTGGGGTTAATATGACGGAGGATGGCGTCCCCCTGAGCGTTTTTTTCGAGGACGGGGTTAGACGGGGCTAGCGCGTCCATAGCCCCGTCCGTAGCCCCGCCCAAACGGGGCCCAGCCACCTCTGGCCCCGGGGGCTTGACGGAGCCAGACGGGGCTGGTGCTATCAGGACCAGGGGCGACACTCTCTCCGCGATATTAACCCCCCTTTACGATATATTTCATTCCCCTTACTGAATTTCTCCTACGATAGGCCGTACTATCCCACGTGGGAACGGGGAACACCCAGATTCCTAAGGCTTAGTGAATGCAACCCCGCGCCTTTAGCACTGTAGGTGCACTAACAAGCCATGCGCATCCCCAAGTTCATTGTAGTGGCTGGGCGGTCAGAGTATGTGCGCTGAGCGCTTCAACCACCAGGTCAATCTAGAAGGACAGAATGAACCAGAGTGAGGGATTTAATGTATACAGAAGCCGGAGTTGTCCCCCCAGGTGGCAGTGGCCACTGGCGAAGCCAGGGCCGGTGTTTACTGCCTTCAGTCATGCATGGGAGTCCCTGGGACAGTGGTGGCAGCTGCTTTGGAGGCTCGTGGGCTCATCTCAAGTGGCCTATAATCAGCGTTTGTTGCATTTGCCGAGGGGTGGTGTCCCAGTGGCTTAGGTTGTGGTTGCAAGGGGAGATGCATCCAAGCGGCGTCATGGGCGGCTGCAGCTGTGTGGACGCAGGTATGCCCGAGCTGTCGGTCGTGTGACTTCAGGCCTGCGCGTGTGGAACGGTTCACTGAAAAAGGGTGGATAACCTTGAGGCGGCGAGGTCTTGAAACATGACGCCAGACCGGTCATGATGGTTGTCCGCTACACCATACAAGGTTATAATGGGCAGCAAGTAGGTTCATGTGATAGTTTTCCGTAGGAAGCATAGTATACTATGCGCTCTTATAAAAGCGCTCCTACGACAATTGTAGGGTTATTAAGTCCACATCAGTCCGCCTCTTTGTTTTGTCCGCCTACAACGTGTCAGTCCGCAGTTGTGTCGGGCATGTACGCGCTATTAGGCTGCGCACCCATAACAAATGCCCTACATTGCGGCTGTGGTGACACGCCTAGGCGTAGGCTCACACCGGTAGATGGTGAACGGCGACGGTCCTGCTACGTGCTAACTGTCACACTGACATTCGAAATCCCCGTCTTTTCAGCACCCATCTCCCCTAGGTATATCAAATTTTTAAAGTAGCGTATTCAGAGACTCACGCCTGTTTAGTCAGGTGCTTAACGGGATTGGAAGGCGTCTCACTGGCCGACTGCACAACATATACTGTCGGATCTGCTCTCAGCCCTTACCCCGCATTAGTCCAGTTTAAACTTTGAACGTCTTTTCCATTAGCCAAAGCGGGCGCTTGGTCAGGACATCCAACTTCATATACGTATACTCCAAAGAGCCTGGGCATTTCTATTGCACTCTGCGATCGACACACCTCTGCCTGCGGAGCATCATAACGAATGGCACTGTCTTATCTAGACTGTCAGATGCGGCAGGTATTGTATCTCTGGAGTCTTCCTCGTTCGTTCGCCTTCTTTCCGTTTCCTTTTACCAATGAAGAGTAATCAGCAAGAGCAATCACAAGGGGTCGTCTGAAGTGCCTCGACAAACCCTCTTCAAATATCATAACCAGCTCCTCATACAATCTACAACAGCAAAGGAAAGAAGTGAGCGTTAGGTGGACCGAGAAGGGTGTTCATCCTATTTCTGCAACTACCTCAACTATGCGCTATGTGGACTGTGCCGTTGTAGGTTTCACGATAAGTGTTTCCCTAAGGGAAGGGATAGTAAGTGGTGATAATGTTCAACATATACGATTGCAATAGGCTTCGGCGCCTCTAGGAGGAGGAAACGAACTTCCCCAGTCCGACGTAAACATATTTGCCGCCACTCATACGTTCGACTTCGAAGTTGCACGCCCACCGTAATAGTGTACGAGGGTCAATAAGCGTG